CCATAACATACAGGTATTTAAAAGTGGGATTGTTGATATTTCATTTTCATTGGTGAATATTAGCTGCACAGATTAATGGGTTTCATTGTGGCAGATTCTTAAATGCATATAATATAATTTGATCATTTCCTTACTTTGCACACATACTGTTTCCTCTTCTCTCCCCTTGGTTCCATTCCTGTTTAGTAATAGGCCCTCTTTTACTTTCATGCCATCTCTTTCTATTTTTTAAGGATCTGCATATGAGAGAAAATATGAACTACTTTTCATTCTGAGTCTGGTTCATTTCGCTTGACACGATGAACTCTAGTTCGACTCATTTTCCCATCTATGATTCCATTCTTATTTATGGCTATATAATACTCCAGACATAGATATGCTATATCTTCTTTATCCATTCATGTGTGAATGGGTACCTAGGCTGATTCCATAGCTTAGCTTTTGTAAACTGGGCCTCTGTAGTATACTGACTTTACTTTCTTGAAGACTGCTATAGCTAAGGATCGTTCTACTTCTTTGTCTCCTTCAATAATGTGTTATAAATACTTGCTAAGCTTTTAATTATCCCTTTGTAAAAGGTATATAGTATTGCAGTACAGTTCAAACTGTTCTGGAAGGCACCTTTTAGATAGTTGTAAGCTTTATTTTTTTTTTCCTCTTATAACTGATACTGTGGTCAGTGGAACAGCTAATACTTCAACAATTACACAATCATTTTCTTAGAAAAATCCGTGATGTAATGTGATGATTGGTAGCAATGATAAAATGAGGTAAAACATGAAAAGGACAGAGTGTAGAAGTAAGTGCGTAGTAGATCATCAGTATACATTAAGGTAGTGGATATAAATAAGTAATGTAAAAAGGAAGGGAAATAGATCTTATGTGGAATAGATCACTACCCCAAATGTAACCTTTTATGTAAGAATGAGCCAGGCATGGTGGTGCATGCCTGTAACCCCAATACTCTGGGAGGCTGAGGCAGGAGCATTGCAAATTCATGCCCATCCAATGCAAGTCCTTTTTATTTTGTAAGCATAGATCATGCGAACAAACGAAACAGTTGAGTGTGTTGACTGCAGATTCAGCCTGTGTTTCTGTGGGAAGGTGTGTCTCTGTCACTGAGTGGTGAAAAAGAAGAATTCAGATAGAAGAGTAAGCCTGCATCTCTGTCCCGGAAGAGGCAAAGGAGCTTCTGAGTATTTGCTGTTCCTGTTTCCCTCTGCTTCAGGTGCCCCCTGCTCCTGGTTAGACGCAGATGGGCCCTGAGCCTTTACCTCTCCTACAAGGAAGGGCCCAGTGCTGGTCTCCAGGTCTGTTCTGATCCCCGGGCTGAGCGCTTGCATGACGAAGGCTGGGGGAAAGTCCCCGTTTCCCCCTTGGCCGTTCACCCTCTGCATGTGACACTTGCCATGCACGTACTGAATTCTATGCAGAGCTAGAGAGAAGCAGCCACAGGGTGTGATAGTACGCAGCTCTGTGAGATGGGCAGGTGGAGACATGCAGCCAGCGGTGGTCCAAGCAGGGCAGCTCCCACAAGCCTTGTGAGAAGGTAGGACCCAGGGGTTCCAGCCTTCACTAGGAACTGCAAACCTGGATATTTTATTCACATGCTTCAGTTCCTGCTATTAGTGGGAAGCGGAGGGCTAACTGGAAGACAGAGCAGTGTGTTTTCATATGCAGTATATGCGTGTGTCACTTGGAGAAGAGACGCAGTGAGGGGACAAAGACACAAGCTAGACTTCTCTGAGCTGCTTTGGCTTTGTGGTTTTGACTTTGGTGCCATATGAACAGTTCACAAATCTAAAACCAGACTGGACTTCAAAGTGGGGCCAGGTGGCACATGCCTGTCCGCCCAGCTCCCAATGAGGGTAAAGCAGAAAGTTGATCCTAGGAGTCAAAGGCAATAACAAATAAATTGGACCTTAAGGAACAGTCATGAAAAATTGGAAGAAAAAGAAAAGAGACATGGGTCATGTAGTGGCAGAGCGGATACCCAGCATGCATAAGTCCCTGGGTGTGATGCCCCGTGCTCAAAAGATGAAAGTGATTAATGTAAGTAAAATAGCTGACCCTTGCTGCCTGTTGGGTTGGTGGTGGCATAACTTCACAGAAGGAGTTTCAAGTGCCTTTGAAACCTAATAGTTTGGACTTCCTTAGTAGACTGTGATTTAAAGATTTTAAAAACTTGGGAACGAATTTTGGAATTGTTTTCATGAGTGCAAATGTCAGTTTTGTACTGGTTTGGGGCTCTGAAACTATTTGTTGTGTACTGTGGGGTGAAGGTAGGTGAGTAATTATGTCATTGTGGAGGGCTGCAACTTTTAGTATGAAGGAAAGGTTCTACATTAAAGCCCACGAGATTAGAGTTAACTTCAAGCTCCGAATTTGGATTAAAGTTTCATGTGAAATCATGGCGTATTTTATTTACTAAATGATGAACAAAACAACACACAATCAAATTTTATGTTCTAGCTCCATTCGCAGAAATAAAGATTAATCCAGTAGCAATGAACACCTAAATCTCTGAGCTTGTGCTCTCCAAATACCTGTTCCTAATAAAATGAACTGGGCCTTCTCACAAGAAATGGCTGATTTCAGGCTCTGGGTAGGATGTATGTAAGATAACTCCAGGAAATCTTGTTGTCCAGACGCAAGAGACCACTGATGGCTACCATCAGGAGTTAACTTGGAGAGGCTTCTCTAACCAAAGGTAGAGCCGTAAGAAAATGAAGAAAAAATATACTGTGCCTGTGCTAGAACAAAACAAATCAAAATGTTCGTAGTGATTTTTTTCTTTTTTTTGAGACAGGGTCTCACTATGTAGTTGAGACTGACCTGGAACTCACCATGTAGCCCAGGCTGGTCTCGAAATCACAGTGATCCTCCTGCCTCAGCCTCCCGAGTGCTGGGATTATAGACATGGGCCACCAACTCTGGCTTTCATAGTGACATTTTAAAAATAAAAACGTCATTGGATTGGAGTCTACTAGATAATCAATTCAATATTTTGAATATCAAAGAAGGAAAAATCAAGTTTTGTCAAATATCTCTATACAATATAATTTAAGCTAAAGAAATAAATGAAGTGAAACTTTTCTTGAAAGAATAGTCCAGTTAATGGGTTTCATCAGTTTGAAAGTGAAATTCCTAGCTAAATTAGAGACGTTCTTATCTGAAGAATGCCAACAGCTGATACCATAGCAGATGCTTTTCTGTTTCCTGATACAAGAATACCCGATCTGAGCAAAACTACAAATGCGTCCCTAAGATGTCCACCTCACAATCTCAGGAAATCTGAATATGTTGCATTTCATGGCAAAGGGGACTTACTCTTGCAAATAGATTTACCACTGCTGATTAGGTGACCAGAATGAGAAGATTATACTAAATCATCCAGAAATCATGAAGATCCTGGAAACTGATTTAGAGTCAGAGTAATTGTCTGTGAGGGAGGAAAAATAAGCCTCAGTCTACCATGGCTGACTTTGAAGAGTAACAAGGGCCGTGGGCCCAGGAATGTGAGTGACCTGTAGAAGCTAGAAGAAGCCAAGACACTGATCCCCTTAGAGATCTACCCCGACCACTCTTTTTTTAACCTTTTTATCTCATTGAGTCGTTGCACAGACTTATAAGTTACAGTACAGTAAGATAATAAATTTGTATTCTTTTAAACCACTAAGTTTATAGTTTTTTAAAAAAACAACACTTCCTATGATATGTTCATCCTAGAAAACAAACTAAGTCTAATTCAGTGCCCGGACGTGACCTCTCGTTTACAGGAAACACAGTGGTCAGAGGAACACATGGAATCATGGGGATGTCCAGCAAAATGTAAACTCTGGGAAACTCTGCTAGAATAATAACATTTTATTCATCAAATAGAGTCTTTGTGTGTGTGTGTACATATCAGAGAAAAATTTGAGAGAGTTTGGGAAATGACTTAACATTGGACATACCCCCAAGTTGTAGTGGAAAACTTCGTACAAATACATAAATTATATATGGAATCAGTGTTAGTGCCACGTGAACAGTGAAACGGAGTGATATTAACAAGAGTCACTGTCGTTATTTGACCCTGGGTGTTTGATATAGAGGAAATTTTGAGGGGGACAGTATACATGATGTCAATATTAAAGATGAGAATGGGTGTATGGGCTTAATAGCTAACAACAGCCAGCCAAGATGAGTGAGTGTCCACCTTTCCCTTCTTTGTGCCCCTCTTTTCCTTTTAAGGACCTTTTGTGATTTTATTAAGTATATCTGCACAATTTGGGATGATCTCCGCATTCCAAGATCACCTGATTAGCAGTCCTAATTCTCTCTGAACACCTAGTTTTTCTTAGCAATAGACTATAACATAGTCAGAGGTTCTGAGGGTACAATGTGGACATCTTGGGGATGGGACTCACCTTTTTGCCTACCACAAGGGCTATTCTTGTATCAAAAACTACTGAGTGTCTGTGTCATAATGTCACCAGCTCTGCGAAGATGCTCCTTATCGTTTTATGTTTTAATGTGAACACAGTACGATGTTCGTCCCAGTGTTTGTCCATAATCTGACATCCTGCATGTTTTGCGTTGCCAGACAAGTGACCAATGAGCTACCGATGTTACATCTCTGCCTAAAATTTTGAAAATACGATCTTTCTCTTTAGTCTGGAGAACCACCACTTTCTTTTTCCACTCTCCTCCTGCCTCTTTCCTTCTGAACTGCCTGGCAGTAAAGGCCATCTTCTCCTGTGCAAGTCATTGACTTGGGGGCATTACAAATTGCTTGGAATAGAATTTTCTCCGAATAAGTGAGCAAAATGGATAATATGCATAATCGTATTGAGCAATGCCTCCTAGTATTTTATGTGTTCATTCTGAGTGCCCTCATTTCGCTCCTTCAAATACTAAAAAAGAAAAGCAATAACTTTGTTTCAATTTTTGACAGCCTGAGGTATTTTGAAATTTGGGCTAAGCATATTTTCCCTGTTATCTCTGTGTCTCTATTTCAGGATGGAATGGGAAATCTGAGAATCACAGAAAAAGGTCTAAAGCTAGAAGGAGACTCAGAATTCTTACAACCTCTCTACGCCAAAGAAATCCAGTCCCGACCAGTAAGTTAATGCTAACAGCAGAAAAATTTGTCTTGTTCCTCTGAAATCTAAAATTGGGGAATTGATCTTGTCATGCGTTGATAACAGGGTTGAGGGGGGTACAGATAACGAGATAAATTCGTATTCAAATCTGAAGGCTTGAGTTATTATCATATTGCTGGTGCTCTAGCAAGTGTTTGACCTCTCTGAGCCTGTCTTTTCTTGGCAAATAGAGAGTAATGGCTGAAGCTAACTAACTGCATAGGTTATGCTGGAAACCAGGCAAAAGACTATGCATATGGAAGAATCTTAAGCACTATGCAGATGCTGAATAATATCGACGTTACTTTTAATCGTCAGGTGTTTCAGAGCCATCTTTGGCAACATAGAACTGAAGAATTAGCGTTTTGTTTTTCATTCGCAGTTTGGGCTGTGTAACTATTGTTGGTTAGAATCGATTCATTATTAACACCTACAGTTTCAAAAGGCATCGCGCTAATTACTGCAGAATGTATGCCCGTTTAGGACACATTTCTGCTTTCCATACGTTATCTAATTTGAATCACATTGGTCCATTCCAGTGGGAACTATTTTTGACTTTCTTTTACAGAAAAAAAAAAAAAAAAACTGAGACTTGGAGAATACATCGAAAGGCACATATTAATGAAATAGTAGGACATATATTTCAATTCTAGAAATGCAGTTGTAAAGCTTTTTTGTTAGCCACAATTCCTACATAAATTTCTCTTTTATTTTTTATTTTTTGTGATGGTAGAAGGTGGCGCACACCTCTAATCCCAGCATTCGGGAGGCTGAGGCAGGAGGAACGCTGTGAGTTCGAGACCAGCCTGGGCTCCATAGTGAGTTCCAGGTCATTCTCAACTACATAGTGAGACCTGTCTCAAAAAAACAAACAAAAAAAGAAGTAATTCCTGTATAACTTGCTTGTATTTGCCAGTATTATGAAAATTAATTTGGGAGGAGATTGTTTCTTTGTTGGTGGTATTTGGTTTTATTTCTTCAGGTGTGTGTGGGGGGTGTGTGTGTGTATGTGTGTGTGTGTGTGTGTGTGTGTGTGTGTGTTGATTTTGTTGGTCGGAAAATATTATTAATGTGTTTGTTCTGCCTGGGATTAATCTCTATCCACCTGCAAGCAAAGGGTAACATGCGAGCTCCCCGAAGTATCATTTGCATCAAGTGTATTGATTAGTGTAATCAATGAAATTTAGCAGCATGCAGGTGGCTAATTTTATCTGAATGCCATGTAGGCTTCAGTTGTATTAAACTGAGTTTGACTACTGATCTGACAGTAAATTTACTTCCTTGACTGCATCGTAAAGTAGAGCCAGCAATGTTCAAATCATTAACAACAGCAAATCAACTCAGAAATACAACGATTGCTTATAAAATTTGACTGGAGCCACATGGTACATTGTGTTGGAAACACAGAGGACTGTGTCGTAAATACACACATTCTTTCTGAGGAAAATTCACCCTGGAATGAGCAACGAGGTGTCTGTCTGTAAATGAGGACAGTCAGGGTTTAGGTCTGCTTTGGACTGAATACAGACAGTGTCCAGCTTTTAAAACATTCTGTGTTATAGGCCTGGCCCTTGCTTCTTGGTTCTCCCAACATAATAGGTTGATGAGGGAAGTCATGAGCTTGCGTTACACATCCTATTTCAGCTTGATAATCTTATCTACGTTAAACTCATTGAATTTACTAATTCAGACTGATAACTTCCCTCTAAGGGTGTTTGCAGACTTTATCTACAAAAAGGATATTGTATCTCCTCACACGTCCCCCTCCCTTTTCAGAGATATGTCAAAAACGGGTTGTTCTTAGCTCATGGCCATGCAGAAATAGACTGTGCACAATAATTTGGTAACCCCTTGAATCTGTATCGGTATTTCCATGGATACATGCACGTTCTAATTAGACTGGCTGTGGTATACGGAGTAGATTTTAAGATCAGTGCATAGAATCATTGGTATGTGTTAAATGAAATATCATGAAATAAATTTTCTTGGCACATAATTAGGGTCATAGAAAAGAATTGAGAAATGTATTTTGAGATTTAGAACACCGTGCCTGCCATGTCTTTCGGGTCCCTGTGAGGGAATTGAACTTAGCAAATATTTCAGCCAGCCTGTCTGTAAATTGACAGGCAGCCTACCCTCAGTTAGAGATTAGAAGCTTCCAAAATAATGATGATATCAAAGCTCTCGCTTTAACACTGAAAGATCAGTCAGTTAAATTTAAATCACTATTCAAAGAAAATGAGAAGTATTAGAATCCACTCATTTCCATTATACATAATGAAATATTTTTGCTTTCAAAATACAAATAGTACACAAAACTTGATAGAAATGTTTCTGAGAATGAAATATATGTATCTTCTAACTCAGAAAAGAGCACATATGCATTCATACTAAAATTCATCCATAGATCCCAGGAGCTCTCCCCAAAGCCTGCTGCCCGGTCGGCCAGCCCCTTCCATCCCATGCTAGCCTCGTCCCCAACACAGTTCTTTCTTTCCCGCCAGGCTGCGAATTCCTCTGCACTGTCTGCTGACTTCTGCTCTTAGCTTCCTGTCTCCAGAGTGGCCTTCAAAATGTCACGCCCCTCCAGTACTTGGGAACGGGTTCTCTGTTGCCTTCTCAGATCTTCTGGAATAAACTCCACAGTCCTCACCCCCCACACCCCAGGCCTTTAAAATTCCTTACATGTTTACCACGAAGGGCTCTTTTGACCATCTGGTGTCTGCTCGGTTGAAACCCTTTAGGAAAGACCTTCAGCCAGTCGTCCCACTGAGCGCAAGAGCCATCGCTAAACTGCACTTTTTTTCCCTCCTTAAAATTCACACCATTTGACGTCCTTATCTATGTTATAATATAGTTTGCAAAGAAGAGGGGGTCGTCTAGATTTTTTCGATGATATTATCTAGCCCTATTGCTCACACTTAATATGTGCCCAGTAAATATTTGTGAAGTGTAACTAATCACTTAACATGAAAGTCTTCCTTAAATTTGTCCTACACAAGCATTGTTAACAAATTAGTATATATTTTTATATTCACCATGATCACATTTTTTATAGAAGTATATTTTGCTTAGAATTCTTTATCTTTCCCCCATTAAAAAAATGTGTTTTTTTAACCTAATATGTACAATTCTAAGAGCTGTTTTTGAGGTGTAGTTAAAGAGAAGAAGTTCAGGCAGAGCCCCGTGATATTTGTCTTTTAGAGGACGTAGAAGGAATCTAAAATAGGTTATTAGGCATGGCAAGAACAGTAGACTTGGTCTGTCTTTGAAGTGTCACAAAAAGTAAAAACAAGTGTGTTACCATAAAAAGATGAAAGAACCAGATGAGAAGAACCTCGAGTTAGTCCAGAGTCCCTCAACGAGGGGCTGTGGACAACTGGACAGAATTGGGGCTTTGTTGACCAGTAAAAAGTGCCTTTCTGAATTGTAACCTCTACAGAACATAACTGTTTATGTACCATTATAGTTTTTCACACCAGAGAAACTATTTGGTATTTACACATATGTGTTATTTGTTTCACTTAAGAGTATATCCTCAATATGCATCCATTTTCCTATGAATGACTGTAATTTCTCATTCTTTATGGCTGAGTAATATTCCATTTTATAGAAAAACCATATCTTCTTCATCCAGTCTCCAACTGATAGGCAAATGGGCTGTTTCCAAGTTTTAGCTATTACAAACTGTGCTGCTATAAACGTGGGTGCACATATATCACTGTGGCATGATTCTTTTAATTCTTTTGGAAAGGTACCCAGCAGAGGGATGGCTGGGTCAAATGGAACCTGCAGTCCCAGCTCTTTGAGGTATCTCCATATTGTTTTCCACAGTAGTCGCACCAGTCTGTACTCCCACCAACAATGGAGAAGGGTTCCTTTTTCCCCTCAATCCCACCAATATTTGTTATTGGTTGATTTCCTGATAGCAGCCATTCTTTCTGGGGTGAGGTGGAATCTCAGTGTTGTTTTCATCTGCATCTCTCAAATGACCAGTGATGTGGAACATTTTTTCATATATTTGCTTTCTTTGTCTGAGAAATGTCTGTTTATTTCAGATGCCCATTTTTGAATCGGGTCTTTGTATTGGGGGGGCTGATTGTTTTGAGTTCCTTATATGTTCTGGATAATAGTCCTTTGTCTGAGGAGCAGCTGGTAAAAATTTTTCCCACATTGTAGGTTCACTCTTAGTTCTGTTAATGATTTCTTTTGCAGTGCAGAAGCTTTTTAATAAGATAAGATCACAGTTGTTGATTCTTTCTGGTAGTTCCCGTGCTACAGAGGATTTGTTCATAAAGCTATTTCCTATGCCAATGTCTTTAAGAGTTCTGCCTAACTTATCTTCTAGCAGATTTAGTGTTTCTTTTTAATATTTAGATCTTTAATCCACTTGGATTTTAGTTTAGTGCATGGTGAAAGATAAGGGTCTAGTTTTAATCTTTGGTAGGTAGAAATCCAGTTTGTCCAACACCATTTATTAAAGAGGCTATCTTTCCTCTAGTGAGAATGGTTGGCTTCTTTGTCAAAGATGAGGTAGCTGAGTATGTCTAGAGTTGTTTTTGTGTCTTCCAATCTATTCCACTGGTCCTCAGGTCCATTTCTTTGCCAGTACAAAGCTGTTTTATCAAAGTGGCTTTGTAGTACAATTTCAAATTGGGAATTGTTATACCTATTGCCATGTCTCTGTTGCCTAGGATGGCTTTTGCTATTCTAGGTCTGGCTCCAAATGAATTTTTGGATTATTTTTTTTAGTTCTGTGAAATACAGTTTGGAATTTCAATCAGCATTGCATTGAATCTGTATAGCAATGTTGGTAGTATGTCCATTTTCGCTATGTTGATTCTTCCTACCCAGGAGCAGGGGACATCTTTCCATTTTCTTATATCCTCTTTGATCTTTATTTTCAGAGTGTTGTAGTTTTCAGTGTAGAGGTCTTTTGCTTCTTTTGTTAGATTGATTCCTAGATACTTCATTCTTTG